CACACACACACACACACACGCAGTGATACCATGTTTTTAAACAAAATTTCATCTTGAACTCCAATACAGGTAAAGCAGAACCATTTTGGCTGAAGAGCAGATAGAGGGCTTCTTTTTCATCAAGGCTGGCACTTCAACATAGTTTGAAAACCTCTGCTGTAAGATTAATTAGTTATGAAATGCATCCCTAGGCCACAAAACAAATTAATTTGCTAGATTAGAATGTTAATCTTTATGAACAGGTAAAATGTTGGGGATGCTTATAAAAAGTGATAATTTTTAATTTAGTCACCTAAGGCCATCATAATTCATTAAAATACATTTCCCAGTGTCTGGATTCCCCAGTCTTTAACAAAACTATGCGGTGGCACCAAAAGTTAACTTCAGTACAAGGAAGGCTGTGCCAATCCTAGTCCTGTGCTTCTCTCTGCCTGTGGAGAAGATCTGATCTGCTCATTGCTCCTATCAGGGTGTGGTCTTTTGAGAAAAATGGCACTTTAAGGCCCAAGAACACTGCAGGAATTTCAGTCTTCACGTCTGCATTGTAGGCAGCAGGAAGAGAAAAAAGGAGGAAGAACAAACTTGCTTCTTTTATGTTTTTGAGACAGAGTTTTGCTCTGTCCCCCAGGTGGGAATGGGACGTTGGACACCGAGGTTGTTGCACTGAAGTGGCAAGATCAAGACTCACTGCTATCTCAACCTTCCAGACTCAAGTGATTCTCCCACCTAAGCCTCCCAGGTAGCTGGGACTACAGGCATGCGCCACCACACCCAGCTAAATGTTTAAATATTTGTAGAGATACAGTCTCATAAGTTGCCAGGTCTGGCCCTGAACTCCTGGCCTCCAGTGATCCTCCCACCTTGGCCTCCCAAAACTTGTTTCTTTAAAAAGTGCTCCCAGAAATCCCACCAAATTAACTCTTTATAATTCAATAGTCAAAATGTTATCACATGGCCACACCTAGCTGCAAGGGAGCCTGTGTGTTGCAGTTTGGCAAGACAGATGCAACACATTCCTGTTGACACTTTAGGGCTGTTACGAAGGAACATCCAGTAATGGTAACATCTAGGCAGAAGTAACCACCACTCCCCTGAACTACTGTGCCATGTGTGTATTTTACTATATGTATAGATTGGTGTTACCTCTACCATACCCAGCATACAGAACAACTTCATTAATCGCCCCCCTCCTCCAAACTTCCCTTGTGCCTATCCTGTATAATTATACCTTCCCCTGTAACTATCTCCTGGCAACCACTGATCTGTTTTCTATCACCATAGTTTAGTTATCTCATTAATATCATATAGATGGAACCATATGGTACATGCTGTATAACCTTTTGAGACCAGCTTCTTTCAGTCAGCATAATGCCTTTGAGATTCATTGAATTTGTTGCATATGACAGTAGTTCATTCTTTTCAATTGCTGAGTAGTATTCTGTGGTATGAATGTTTGTTTATTCATTCATATGAAGAACAGTTGAATTATTTCTAGTTTTTGGCAATTATAATAGAGGTGCTATTTGTTTCTATGTGAAGTTCTCATCCACATATACCTTTTTATTTGTATTTATTAAAATAATTTTTTTTTGAGTCAGACTCTCTGTCACCCAGGCAGGAGTGCAGTGGCACCATCATAGCTCACAGCAGCCTCAAACTCCTGCCCTCAAGCAGTCCTTACCTGTCACCTCAACCTCTGAAGGAGCTAAGGAGCTGGGACCATAGGTGTGTGCCACCACACCCACTTTAATTTTTTGTAGAGAGAGGGTCTGTGTTGCTTAAGCTGGTCTTGAACTCCTGGTGTCAAGCAATCCTTCTGCCTCAGTCTTCCAAAGTGGTAGGATTTTAGGTGTGACCATTGCATCTGACCTACATTTTTATTATTATATTATATACAAGGACATTGCTAATGTGTTCCCTTCCTATACTAAACTATTTGTACTAATACGGTTTAATCTGTGTCCCCACCAAATTTCATGTCAAATTGTGATCCTCAGTTTTGGTGGTGGGGCCTGGAGGGAGGTGATTGGATCATGGGGGTGGTTTTCTCCCTTGCTGTTCTGGTAATACTGAGTTCTCATGAGATCTGGTTGTTTAAAAATGTGTAGCTCACAGCCTGCGGGAACTGTGAGCTAATCACACTTCTTTGTAAATTACCCCATCTCAGGTATTTCTTTACAGCAGTGCAAGAACAGAGGTGATTGGATCATTGGGGTAGATTTCTCATGAATGGTTTAGCACCATGCCCTTGGTGCTGTCCTCATGATAGTGAGTTCTTATAAGACATAGTCCTTTAAAAGTGTGTGGCACCTGTCCCTCTACTCTTTCTCTTGTTCCTGCTCTCCTGTGTGATGTACAAGCTCTTGCTTGGCCTTCACCATGACTGTAAGCTTCCAGAGTCCTCCTCAGAAGCATAGTCCTTCCCAGTGCTATGCTTCTAGTACATCCTACAGACCCATGAGTCAATTAAACCTCTTTTCTTATAATTACCCAGTATCAGGTATTTCTTTAAAGCAATGCATGAACAGCCTAACACATGTACCTCCAAGATTTTGCCTGGTCCAAAGCAAATAACTTAGTGTAGTGGTTAAGAGTACGGTCCCTTGCCTGTGTTTGACTTTTAGCTCTAATACTTAATAGTGGTGTGACACTGGGCAAGTTACTTGATATCTCTAATGCCTCAATTTTCCCATCCTAGATCATTGGGATAAAAAGTTTCTACCTCCCAGGGTATTGTAAGGATTTGTTTTTTTTAAAGTGCTATACGTGAGTTTGCTGAGGTCAAAGTAGTGTCTTACACATTTTCCTATCTTTGGCACCTAGTAAATTAATGGCAGAAAGCAGATGTTTACAATTTTTTATTGAATAGATGATTACATTAATTTTACAAATAATCCTAGCATATACAACTGTATATTTACTATTTTTCTTCAACAAATATGAACACCTACTATGCCCAGGCATTGCACTAGGCAATGGGGACACAGTTGGAAACATAAATATCTCATTAGGAGGAAAATGAAACTGTGATAGTCTATTTTAAGCTATTTTTGTTCTCACAGAACTATCCTTCCTTAAATAAAAATCTTTTCCATGTTCCTTTTATAGAAATGAAACAGTAAAGAATGCATAACACATACACTAGCTTCAATGACTTTCCGAAGGTCATATTAACTTACTTTTTGAACCAAAGGGCAAAATTAAGATTAAATAGAAGATAGGAAATTAAATAAGGCTATTTGAGTTCTTTTTCTTAGCGGAGATGATTTCAAATTTGTGTCCCCCAGAGAAGGGGCATTTACTTAGCTATTTCCAATAAGGTTGATGATTCTGAGACTTCCTTATAGTAATGCTGGTGAATATAACTTAGGCCATATTTCCATATTAACTGGCTAAATATTTCATTTCCTTAACTGTGCTGGTTGGTGTGACTCGAAATAATTGGATTACAGGGCAGTCTACTTGGTTCAAACAGTCATGCACACACCCTAAGGCTTAATTACTACGAATAAATCAATCCCACCCCCAAATCGCTGGCTGTCACTGACAATAGCTTTAACTGTACTTGCACAGTTAAAGAAGTTCAACGAGCATACTAGAACTGATGATTAAAACTTTAGCCGTTAAAGTAATTGCTGACTCTCACTTGGAGATCAGTTTTTTGTTAAGTGAAGAACCAGCAAGTTTACCCGATTTAAACATCAATCATGTCTCTCAAGACAGATTAACTGGAGTTGATTTTTTTTTTTTAAGTTGTTTACCATGAAATACACCTTTCTTTTTATTTAAAAAAAAAAAAAAGCCTAGAAAAATCTTAAGGTTTTAAGAATTCGTAAAATAATTAGAACTGAGACTTTGTCCAGGGAATTTTATCATTTAAGATAAAGAAATCTCAGCAACATTATGATTAGTTACCAAGAAAGATACTTGCAACGGGAAAACTTTCCCCACTATCATATCTACTCTGAGAAACAAAGCAAAATAAAATTCATGATGAAGTTACAGTTGATTTCACATTTTTATTAGTCATCCAGTTTACTGCTAGGTTTTAAAAGATGTTCCAAGGCGGGAAGAAAGGGGGGAAAGTCTCAGTAGATGGGATCTGTTGGTTTCGATAGGGGGAGCGGGGTTCGAGGGGCATGAAAGCAGAAGGGAAGGGTAGGGCGGAAATTAGCGCCCTAATAAGACACCCAGCTCCCAAGGAAGCCAGCTGGGCGTTACAAGCAAGTACAGCAGAAGGGCTTTAGGGCTAATTAAAACAATCACAGGACACTCCCCCTCGCGTTAGCCAGGGCCGGGTCTCCAGCTTTTGCAGAGCTGGGGGCGTGGATTAGTTCGGATTCAAATTGAAAGCGGGAGGCCGGCGCGTGGTTCAGCAGAGCCTCGTGCTCGGCTCCTCGTGGCGCTCGTTTCCGCCCGTACCTGCCCCGAGGGCCGGAAATTACCTAGCGAGAAGCGGCTTCTCCATTGCTGCCAATGTTTCAGCTGCGCGAAAAATCAGTAGAAAGTGCGGAGCGCAGGGCACGCAGGCAGCTCGCTGCCCCTCCCTCACTCTCCTGACTGCTGTGCTCCTAGTCCTGCTTTTACAATGCCACAGGCCACTAGGGGAAGTCGGAGCGAAGCCGGGAGGGAAGCAAAGCAGGAGGAAAAGTGAGAAGTGTAAGAAGACACAATCCCGGGCACACCACATAGGCTGGTTACCAGCTAAAGGGAGCGCATGCGCCGGCCACACTTCAAGCTCGTGGAGAAAGACACGCATGCGCAGAGCCGAAACGAAAACTGAAGTGAAGGAGTGAGTGGCAGATTGAGGGCGCTGCTTTAGCTACCGAAGGGCCACAGCCGCCCAGAGGCGCGTGCGCAGAGCGCGGGAGGGGGGTGGAGCTCTTCTGAGGGGGCCGGCGGCGAATAGTACCGGCCTCGCGCGCCCCCTGGCGCGCACGCGGGGAGAGGAAGGAGCGGGAGGGGGCGGAGAGGAGGGAGGAGGCAAGCAGGGCGGGAGGGGGGAGGGGAGCCAGAGCGAGGGAGGGTTTATCGACCGGGCGATTTTGGTTAAAATATTCAAAATGGCGGACGGAGGAGCAGCGAGTCAAGATGAGAGTTCAGCCGCGGCGGCAGCAGCAGCAGGTAATCATTACAGCATTTTACATATTCATATTCATACTCAACCCCGGCTCCCGCTGCCCCCCCCGCGACTTAGCATAATTTATTAGTACTCAGGATTATTATAATTAACGGCGGGGAGATGGGGGGCCGGGGAGCACGGAGCCCCCGCCGGGCGCCGAGCGGAGGGGGAAAGAGGCTCGGAGCGGCCAGGCGGAGGGGGAAGACAAGGGGCAAAGTGGGCTGCGATCCACCGCCCTCCTCCTGCCCCCGGCCCACCCCGCCGCGGCTCGCCGCCCGCCCGCCGGCACCGGCCCTCCTCCTCCGCCAGCCACCGCCGCCGCCTCCCGGCCGCCGTGCCCGAACCCTAGCGGGTCCGCGGCCGGGCGGCGGGGCGGCGGGGCCGGGGCTGAGGGAGAGGACAATAAAGACATTTTACATATTCATAGCTCCTGGGCCGGCGGGGCGCAGTGGGGCGCGGGCGAGCGGCCGGGGCCAGGCGGGCGCGGGGTGGGGGGCGTGGAGGGGGGATGGAGGCGGCGGCGAGCACAATGCCGGGGAGGCGGCGGGGCCGGAGCGGACCCCGGCGGCCGGACACCCGCACGCGTCTTTCCCCGGGAGCTGGCCCGGGCGGGGGGGCGCTGCCCATTGTCGGGGGCGGCCCGCAGGGCACCCGGGAGTGCGCGCGGGGAGAGCTCCCTGCCCGTGCCCCGCCGCCACACGGGGGTCGGAGCGGGGCTGAGCCCCGGGGTCACGGCCCCAGGCGTCTCGGCCGCGCCCCACTCGTCCCCGGTGTGGCGGCCTGACCCGAGCCAGGCCTGCGCTCTAGGTGGGTAGGGGTGAGCGGTTGTGGGCGCTGCGAGGTGGCCTGGGGCAGCGGGGTTGGGGAACTCGCTCAGGGGTCTGCGTCGCCCTCTGGGGTGTGGACTGGGTTGGAAGGAGTCCTCGGGGCAAGTTCCTTCGGAGAGGATGCCCTGTGGGGCGGCCCGCAATCCCGGGGCCGGCGGTCGGGGCTTCGCGGGCGAGTTGGGCTGGAGGTGCCTGGCTTGGTCTGACCTCCGTGTCCCTTTGCCCCTCCCTGCCGCCCCCTCATCTGCCGTTCCCCCCGCCCCCCGCCGTCCCTCTCTCCCGCCCCACCGCGCCAGACCGGGACGCACGGGGCGGGTGGCCCTCCGGGGCCTCTCGCTCCGAGGCCCCAGAAGCGCCCGTAGGCCTCCCGAGAACTTGGATGCAAAGGGCTGCCCTTCTGCCCCAGAATGGGCTGGCCTGACAAGTTGATCGCATTTTCGATTTCCTCTCTCCTGTTAGGAATCGGTGGGGAGTGACGGGGATCCCCCTCCCTGCTTCTGTAGTGGTGTTTTCTCGCTGGGTGCTGGGTCGTCTTTACTCTCTGCTTTGCCGAACCTCTTCTCATTTGAATAATGTCTAATTCTGGGAGGTTTATATTATTGAAATGGCCGCCTGGCTTTCCCCGCCTCTCATGTTTAGTAATTCAGACCTTTAATAACAGCCACTCACAGCCCAACGCCGTGTTTATATTTTACATTCGCCCCATGTGCTTTTGTGGTTCGATATGATTCTTTTTTTTTTTTTTTTCCTTGGCAATCCACAGGGCTCTGAGATCAAACCCAGGCCGTGCTGGGAAGAGAGAGGGAAAGCTAGGCCTTGGATCCTCTAGCAGTTGCCTAGGCCTCATGTTCTCTGCTGCTTGATTTATTTACTAATAATCAAAATGACTACCCCCACCAACTTCACACACTTTCCCCTCCTCCGCGGGCAAAACAAACTCTCTTGGGGCCTTACTAGCATTAAAACAGCTCCTAACTAAGTATCAACTCTGTGATGGTTTGTTTTCTCTGAAAAAGACTTTCTTATAGTTTGCAGTAGTGTTGGACCTAGAGGGGGAAATCTGTCCTGTTTCATTTTGGAGCCTATGAAATCTATTTTAGTTTCACCCAAATCACTTTGTTTTGGGGTTAGGTACCCCAGTTGCTCCCCACCCCCATATTAAGTACTTAAAGACTTTGTAAAGATCTGCAATATTTGTGAAATGGACACATTTTTTTTTTCCTCTAGGAGTTGTGAAGTAGCTAAGTATTTTAGTAATTCCAATGAACAACACTTTCATAATTTCTTAATATGGTGCTCCCTTTCTAACATCTTCATTCTAATTTAAAATGGAGCAGACGTAAATTTTGTGGCATCGCTGTCATAGACTTGCTTATTTTAATTGTAGCACTACTGAAAACCAAAAATGGGGTTCTTTGAGCATTTGTGTCATGGTTAAATGAGTGAAAAGAGAAGAAGAAACATAGGCATTGTGTTTAGCCTGGTCTTGGAACTTAGTCTCCCCCCAGCACACCTGCCCCTCTTTAAGCTGTCAGAACTGATTTTATGTTTTATCTAAACTTAGGACAGTTGGCTTGTGAGAGGCAGATTAACTTTTACTATTTAGAGGAAACAGTAAACTTTGATTTTTGGTCTTTCCTGTGGTAAAATTTTCTCATTTTATTTTGTGTAGGGGTGTGTGTGTGTGTGTGTGTGTGTGTGTGTGTGAGAGAGACACACACACACACACACACAGGTGTTGCTTCTCATTGGTGGATGTTTACTGCTGCCTAGTTGAGGGAAGTAGTAGAGGAGTGGGCTTTAATGTGTTAAACCTTTGAAATTGTTAAGACATTTTGGTGAGTGGCTAGCTATATATTTTGTGGAACATTGGTCTTCAGTTTAATTTGTAACAAAATTCTAGGTTTGATAGACTGAACACAAGCTAATTTCAAATAACCAATTCTCACCATTTTCTTCTTTTCACTCACAGTAGGCAGGTCCTGAATGCAGCAGGAAAAAAAAATCTGTAGCTTTTAAGAGAACCGTCAGGTGAATGACTGCTTGCGAGACCTGAAATATGAGGTCGGATGGACAGAAAGCAGTAATATAATTTCATGCCTTAAATAGCATATGTTTTTGCACCCGATTGCCAAGATGTGGTCAAACTGATGATGTCATTGGACAGAGGACAAGGTGCAGTTAATTTGATTTATTGTCCTGAGGTGAAGTGTAGCAGTGAAGCCTTCTCATAGGGAAACCATTTATCTCGGGACAATTTCCTTTATAGCTGCAATTTAACCGCTACTGAGGCCATAGATATTTTATACAGGATAATAAAATGTACATTGGATTTTACAAACAAAATTTCATTGTTACAGTTTTTGTAATACAGAAAAGGATGGATGTTGTTAACTGGCCTTGTATTTGCTTCCCTTTTAATTCTGTTATAAAAATTCATTTCCTCAAATTTCTCTAATGGAGTATATGGGTTTTAGGTAAATGTAGAAGTAACCCATATAAATGCTTATTTTAGATATGTTTGTTGTGATCCCCCAAACTCTTATAAGAAACTGTGTTTCTTAATCAGAGCATGGCTCAGGCTAATGGAGAGACCATTTGCCTTAGAACCCATTTCAGTGAATAAAGCAGAGTTGAGAATGAGGGCTATGTATGTTTTTAGGTGGAAATGATAATGTTGAAAATAAGATAGAATACTTCCAGGAAAGCATGTGCTTTGAAAACACTTTTAAAAAAAAAAAATTCAGAATTCTGTTTGGATTTATCTTAGTTTGGACAAGTTTGTTAATTTTGTCTTGATTGGTGATTTTTTAAATTGTTCCATTGCAACATAGTGATTGCACTTAGAATTTTTGACATATAGATTTTCTTGTAAGACATTTCTCATCATATTTTTAATCGTTAGTTTATCTTAAGGTGATGAATAAAATTCCCTGAGAATGTGATAAATTGCTGTGCTTTATTCCTAACGCATATTTGTGATCCAAATTTGATAGAGTATTTCAGGTTACTTTTGAAACCACATGAGTTTATAACCTGCCTGTCTCCTTTTGCATCTTCAAGTAGCTTTCTGCAAATTTCTGGGAAATCCATTGTCACTTCCCTTTTTCTTTTTTTTCCCAGACAGAGTCTCACTCTGTCGCCCAGGCTGGAGTGCAGTGGTGCGATCTAGGCTCACTGCAATCTCTGCTTCCCCGGTTCAAGCAATTCTTCTGCCTCAGCCTCCTGAGTACTTGGGACTATAGGCATGCCCTATGATGTCCAGCTAATTTTTGTATTTTTAGTAGAAGTGGGGTTTCACCATGTTGTCCAGGCTGGTTTCAAACTCTTGACTCCTGACCTCGTGATCTGCCTCCTTTGGCCTCCCAAAGTGCTGGGATTACAGGCATGAGCCACCACGCCCAGCCCATTGTCACTTTAAATCTCTCATCTATTAGTTATAATGATACTTCTGAATCAAGGTCTTAAAAATTCATGTGATAGCTGACCAACTGTTTTTGAATTCTAAAGGACTGTTCTGCTTTGAAACCATTACTGTAAAAGTAATTTTTAACCTCTTCCCTCAAATTAGTTTGTAATTCATTTTGTCATTGTCAAAATCCCAGTAGACAAGGAAAAAACAGTGGATATTACTCAGGTTTAAATGAATTCAGGTGTAGTATTCTGCCATATTTTAAATTTACTATTCTCTGCATCAGTAGGTAGTATAAAGTGGAATAAATAAAATGTGTTTCATTGCTGCCTAGGTTGAAATAATTGTCAGTCTGCCATTCATTTGGTTAGTGCATTTTAGAAGAGTAAGTTCGGGGCTCAAAATGTTACATTGCTCTTATCAAGCCACCAAAGATGTTTAATAGAGCCTTGAATATCTTAGGCAGGTGGTTCTAAAATAGGAGAAATGGACATTTGAATGTTATCTTTAAGTATTTTCTATTAAAAAATGAAATATTTGATGTGTTTCTTTAATCTGTATTGCTTGATCTTGAATTTATGTTTAAGTTGGCCAATCACTTTAATCAATGTTTCCTTTGTACTTGAAAGACTGTAATATTATGTAGTAGTGATTGCCTTGTTATTGGTTATTTTGTTTTGTTTTTAATGTTGAAACCCCGCAGTTGTAATCTTTGTGTATTAATCTTTCAAGCACCATTAAAAATAACGATGTGTGATTCATT